AAGCAGGAAGGCTTTGCGAAGTGAAGAGTCAAGAAGAACCCTGCAAAATGGTCCGTAGTCAAAGCGTGACTATGGAGTTTTGGGAGAATGGCTCTTTCAGGGTTTGGGGTGGGGGTTTAGCGTATAGGAGTGCAGGATTTTTGAGAGGTTAGGGGTTAGGGTTTTGGGTCAAGGTTTAGGGGTTAGGGCTTCCCCCGGGGGGTTTTTACTCCACGTGCCTCAAGGGACACGGTTTTTTCCCCCCTGAAGCGTGCTTAGTTCAGCAGGGGACCCCAAAGAAGATGCGGCTACTCGGCCAACCGAAGAATCCTAGGCTTTAGGGTTCTCAGATCTGCAGGTTTGGAGGTTGTGGGGTTAGGCTACGCTCAGGCTTAGAGGTTTAGGATTATGGTTTCTGTTGCGGTTGGCCTGTTTTTTTTTTTTTTTTTTTGGGGGGGGGGGTTGGGTTCAGGAGTTGGCGGTAGATGTCTAGGAATCAAGAACAAATCAGATGAGCCTTCGAACCTAAATCCAAAGGAACGACGAGTCCCTGAGTTGGAAGTAGCTCTTCCTTTCCATGTGGGTGGTTGTCAAAATTATGGTCCTCTTTTGGGTACCCTAAATATTAGGTGCCGTATTATACTAGGGACCCAAAAAGGGACCATAATTTTGACAACCACCCATGTGGGTCTACGACCCTGATGGCATCTAAACTTCATGTTGGAGAATTGCACCGGGTGTTACGGCCTCATCCTCCTAAGCCCTAGGCCCTAAACCCTAAACCTCGAGGCAGGAGTTCAACAGTCAAGCCCGTTGGATGATGAAGTGTTTAGTGTTCTAGATTCTAGAGTGTAGGGTTTCATGATTCAGCCCATAAGCCCTAAAAGCCTTAAACTCTAAACCTTACCACCAGTATCCCCAAACCCTACAGAATAGTAGGTTATGACAACTTGTATAATTCGAGGGTCTAGCCTGTAAAACAGTAGGTTTTTGGATCCCCATCCAACACCATGAGACCCCCAACCGTAAGACTTTATGGGGCAAAGGTTGCTAAGGTTGCAACCAATTTTCAACGTGAGCCCTGACTCCCAAACCCTAAACCCCTAAACCCCTGAACCCTAAACCCTGATGCAGTTGCGGTATGTGATGGAGAAGAGGGAGAAGTTGGGCGGCTGCCTTCCCATGCGAACGCCCGCCAAGGCAGGCGCTTTTACAGGTAGATGCCGAGCCTTGCAAGGGCTAAGGGCCTAAGGGTTTAGGGTTTGCCTGAACCTACCAACACCTACTTTTTGTAGGGTCCTTGTGAATTCCATGTTAGGCTGTTTCACAAGAACCAATAGCAAGTAGGATTTGGTAGTTTATAGGGTTTGGGATCTGGTAGATCGGGGGCTTCACGAGGGCTTACCGCCTTGCGGGGTCTTCTTTGCAGTGCTGGCTTCAGGGTTCAAGGTTTAGCGTTCCGGCTTTTGAGTTCCCCATCCGCCGAATATACGATGGTCTGTCCATGTTCCCTGGTAAGATACGTTGGGATCTTCATCAAAATTCCTACGACCTACAACTTAATTACGCCTTAAATCCCAACACCCCAAACCGCAAAACCACGAACCCAGAGCTCCCTAAGTCAACCTTGCCTTGTAATCAAGACTAGCTTTGGGCCTCCACGGTTTCCTCACCCGCCACCCTTAACTCTGTGCCCTCAACCCTACTGCTACAACCTGAGTAACAACCCCAGTCGCTCCCACTCGCTATCACGATCCTCAAGGTTCATAAGCAACCCCAAAAGCGCCAGGGACCGATTGGGTCGCGAAAACGTTGTTTGGGGGTTTGGGGGACAGTAGTGCTACAGGACTAGCACGGTAGTACTGTAGTACGGTTAGTAGTACACTAGTGCAGCAGAAGTACAGTAAACAAGTAGTAAGCAGTAGAAGTACACAAGTAGTACTAATACAGTAGTACAGTAGTACAGTAGTCGTACAGTAGTAGTACAGTAGCAGTACAGTGGTAGTACAGTGGTAGCACGGTATTTTGGTAGTAATATTGTAGTAGTATAGGGCGTAAATCAATACTCAAGCAAATCTGCAAGCCGAGCCCGAAGCGGTCCCGTTTAGTACAGGTGGGTTGGTTAATCAGGTTTATACATTAAAGCGCGGTTTAGGGTGTAGGGTTTGGGGTTTCGGGTTTAGGCTAAACCTCGGCGCCCACTCCCCCTGAGGCCTAAGCCCTCTGAGCACCGTTTTTTGGCATCTTTGTGGAAGACACTCCCAGCGCAACATGCGTTTGGCGGCAGGGGGATGTCCTAGGGCTTGGGATTTGGGGTTCAGTTTAGCATCCAGAAAGTTTCAACGTCATTATCTTCATGCCCGCAAGGTAAAGTATCGGGAATCCCAACACCCAACATCCGAAAGCTATGTTCCAACTTTCTGGGGTTCACTTCAGGATCTGTAGGGTTTGGCAAAGGGGCTACTCTTAGGATCCCTGGCTTTAAAACGAACAACAGGTCAGTGGCCTCATTGACTTGCCTCCCGCGGATCTTTTCACGATGTGCGGCCCTGAAGCGAGTGCAGGGTTGAGGGTCTGGGGTTTAATCTTTAGGATTTAGGGTGCAGGGTTCGGGGTTGAGGGTTTGGGTTTAAGGGTTAGATTTCGAGGTTGAATGGCTTCGTCGGTTCAGTTATTCGTTTGTTGCTTTCTGGTGACCCCGGTCAATATCGTAGGGATGCCTTAGCAGTAAGTGCAACCTTATCACGCCTGGTTCTAACTACTCACTGAGGTCCTGCTACTATCCCCCAACCCCAATACCCTAAACCCTAAACCCTAAACACCCTAAACCCCTAAACCCTAAACCCCTAAACCCCTAAACCCTAAACTCCTAAACCCTAAACCCCTAAACCCCAGCCCCACTACCCTATTGATATTAACTCGAACCATCAAGCAGTGGTCTGAAGAAGCAGTAACGTACTCTTGGACTTCACTTTACACCAAAGCCACCCCAGCCCTGAAGATATGAGGCTATGTGGGAGTTTCCGAAAATTAGGGGTACCTTATTACGGGGTCCTCATGATTAGGCTCCTACTATTTAGGGTACTATATTGGGATCCCCTATTTTCGGAAACTACCATGGGGCTTCAGGATCTGATAGAGTATAGTAAACCCCGAAAAGTTGGAAACTGGATTAAGGCCAAATAGTGCTGGGATTCCCTATACATGACTCTTAAGGATGGAGGCTCTGGGGTTTCCAACTTTTGGGCTTCTACTGTAGGCCCAGCACGAACCTGGATTCTGAAGCTGCAAGCCTCAGAACCCGAGACTTCAGCCATGACTTATGGGTTAGGGATGTGTTGGAGTTCAGGGTTCAGGCTTTCTCATTTTGTAGGGGCCTTGATAATTAGAATAGGGTTTCGGGGTAGAGTATGCTACTCTGATTATGATAAGAAACTCCCAAAATAGTATGTGATTATTAAGGCCTCTATATACGACAACCCAGTAGGTTTGAAGCCAGACAGCGTGTCAGGTTTGATCAGGGCAATCCAAAGGCAAGCAACCGCCCTGGGTACAGGCTTTGCTGAGTGTCCGGGTTCAAAACTTGTAGTTTAAACCGTAAACCCCAAAACTGTACGCCCTAAACCTGTTATGTTTCAGTTCGCTTTCAGAACAGCGTCCCCTAAACCTGATACCGGAAACCGGCAGTAAGACCTCATCTGCATCATCGCTTGTATTGTGTCGCTGTTGACAAGTGTCGCGGTCTCTGACCAAAGGAGACTCACCGTGATCAGTTCCAACATAAGAGGTGACAGACTACTAGGTGGGGTTTCGGGATACAACATACAGTACTACATGGTTGTAGTCTTACAGACTATACAGGTGATTATTCTCACCTCTGTATATGTGGTAGGATCTACGGCAGCGTCCTTTGGGTGGCAATCTGGGATAGCTCCTGTGTCCCTCATGGCTTTATTCCTTAGACTCTAAGCCCTAAACCTGAAGTGCGTGATAACCAATCCTAAGTTTGGTGGTTCGAAATCGGTCGATTTGCCGATTTAGTGCTATGTACGATTAGCTCGTAAGACCTTGCTCTACGCATTCAGGCTGGATCGGGAGTCCTTTTACCGGGGCACTCCTGCAGACGTTAGGGTTTAGGCGTTGACAGTTCGGGGTTGTTGGGACTCCGGCTGCGGGCATTTACGGAATCATGCTTCCGGTTTCAATGACCCTAAACCCTTAACCCTTCATAGATCGGTAATTAGAAATCCAAAAGGCAAACCTTAAGGGGTTGTTCGAGGTTTGCACTGGCTCAGCGTCTTGCATCCTCACACGTGTGTGTGTGCGTGTGTGTGTCACACATTCGAAAACGGCATCCGTGCCCAGACCGTGACTTGCGGTCAGAACCTCATGCTCGAACCGTGATAACGTCCATGCTCAAACCCGTTTTGAGGTCAGACCATCCTTGCCCGAACCGTGAAAACGTCCATGGTCTAATCCGTTTTGAGGTCAGAGCATCCATGCCCAGCCGACGATTGTTTAATCATTATAATCGTCAACCCGATCAGCTTGCAAAAAACCCATGCTTTAGCATCGCCCATAAAACAGAGAGTCTGAAAACCTCAGCCCCAAACCCTAAATCCCAACCCTCAACCCCAAACTGGAAGCCCTAAACCCTAACAAAAAAGAATTAAATCCAAAGCCTACACAGGGCCAGGCAGATGTCAACCCCCTTGGTTTCACCTGCGTTCGCTCCCGGGCGCAGCTTCAGGCACATGGAGAGAAGGCCGCAAACTTTTGTCTGTTGTTTTCTTCGTATTGCTAACGGCTTTCATACTTTTTTTGCACTGACGCAGACAAATCTCGAGCCAACCCTATGCATACCCCACAAAATGGGTCAAGCGCAGACTAAGCCAGCAGAGTCCCCGAAGACTTTCATCTACTCATCTACTCATGAAACCTAACTTCACGGCACTTGCGCTGAGGCCGCTCGCCGCTCAAGTTTCGATTTAGAGTTTTAGGTTTTAAGCGAGTTTATCGCCATGGCAGCCACGCTGCCGCCGATCGAGACGCTTTGCAAGGCTCTGCGTGTTTGTACAAACCTCGGAATCCGGCAGCATTAGACTAGATGCAATACCCGAGCCCTAAAGTCTTAAACTTAAACCCTGAAGATCTGCATGAGGGCTTACCCGCAAGCCCTAAACCCTACCATGTAGAACCTGAACCTGAAATCATGCCCGAGACCCTACAGTAGGGCTTCCTAGAAGGGCTCCTCGTGGCATTAAAAGTTGTATATGTGCGGCTTAATGTAGGAACCTGTTTAAGAAACCTTGGGCCTTTGTTACGGTTCCTTATATGAATTTGAAGGCCCAGGGTTTCTTAATCAGGTTCCTACAGAAGTAGGCATCCAACCACCTCCTACTTGAAGGATCATGGGACTTAGTAAGTAAGGTTATATGTACCTTAGTTGGGGTTAATATATAGTTACCCTAGTTATAACCCTATAGTTACTAAGTCCCATGACCCCTTAAGTAAACCAAAAACCCTAAACCCTATAGATCCCTTTAAGGAACCCCTATAGATCCCTTTTTAGGAGCCCTTTAAGGAGCCCTAGTTACTAAGTCCCATGATCCTTTAAGTACAGAGGAGTCTTTCCTCCTGGAAGATCCTTCGGCATCGGGGCGCTTGGACCAGGCCGGCTCTTCTTTGGCGCGCCTTTTTGGGGGGGTTCAGGGTTTTGGGTTCTTGGCTGTAAACTCAACTTTTCAACTTTTGGGGTTCTTATAAGGTAATCGATTCTGAAAGTTTTTACTTTTCTTCCCTTGGGTTTTGGGCCAGTGAGTCGGGTTGTTAAGTAATTTAGGCTTCGGGGTTTGGAAGGGGGTGCCTTGACGGTCCCTTCTACGTGCCATGTGTTTTGTCAGTGGCAGTGCTTGGGGTTTAGTACGGTTGAGCAGTCTGTATATCTTATAAAATATATGCTAGATGTATAAGGCCTGTAATAGCAGCCCTCTCAAAGACCGTGACTTTATGGGGGCAGTACTCATCCTGGACCTACGTATCTAGTATATCATAAATCCTAAACTTCACTAAGCCCTGAACCCTAGCCCCATAACCCAACCGAGGCCTACGTAGTTACTGGGCCGTTTGGACCCCTAGGCTGCGGAAGCCGAAGCCCATCGACTGCAATGCAATTCACATCGTGACGGTTTAGTGTTTAGGGTTCAAGGTTTAGGGTTTGGGGACCCGTGGTCCTTAGCAGGACCCTAAGAAACCTACCGTTTTAGGGCTTCCTTTCTTAGGTCAGGCAAAGGGTAGGACATTCGTGGTTAGAATAAAGGCCACCCCAAATCCTAACCGTGCCCCAACCCGAAACCCAAAAGTCTGCACCCCAGACCTCAGACTATCAGCCCCGCTGCCTTAAGCCCCTAAGCCACTAAATCCTGAATCCTTAAATCGCGAACAAACCCTAAACCCTAAACCCCAGACCGTGGCTCGTGGAATCCAGGCTCATTTCAAGGCTGCGTTGCGCCGGGTCTTCTCCGGGCTGGCCGGAGCTGTGCCGCAGCCGGACGACGCATGGTTTGGGAAGGCTCCCGGAAGCCTGTGCTTAGGGTTTAGGGTTCAGGAGTTTTTTCGAGCCTTTGTGTTAGGAGGGGTCTTCATAATCAGAATAGGGTTTGGGGGGTTCCTCCCCAACCACAGTACAACACACCCCCAAGCCCTATTCCAATTATTGGGGCCCCTACAGTAGGGTGTTTTGAGGCTCCAATTTAGGCCCCAATACTTTGAATAGTATAGTTTTGGGGGTAGGACCAAGTGTAGTTATGTTGGGACTACAAGGGAGCATGATGAAGTGCTAAACATTCAGACCTCTTTGCTATAGGAGTCAGGTGATTATGGTTGAGGGTTGGGGCGGCCGGCATTGCGCATTTGGGGATGATACATTTCAACATTTCGGTGGGGTTTGGTGAGCGCACTGTGTTCACTAGGTGACACTGGAGTTCTACATGGCCGCTTTTGAAAGCAGGCCTTGAGTCGCAAACCTGTGACACGAAACAGTTTCCAGGACCCAAACAGTACCTCGCAAGTCGATGCCGAAAAACCCATCCTAGATCTTAAACCCCCGACCATAAACCCTAATTAATCAATCAGCTTCTGAACTTCTTTTCGCTTAGCCGTTTCAAGGCCGAGGGTCTGCTACAGTTTACGGCTGCAAATCCAGAACCTCAGACTGGTTCAGGTTTTAGGGTTTATGGCGTTACTCCTTAAGGGATCATGGGACTTAGTAACTAGGGCTGCCTAAAGGGCTCCCAAAAAGGGATCTATAGGGGTTCCTTGAAGGATCATGGGACTTAGTAACTTAGGGTTATATTTAGGGTAACTATACTTATAGCTACTTATACCCCCCAATTAAAGTACTTATAACCCTACTTACTAAGTCCCATGATCCTCCAAGTACACCCTGGACGAAGGTCTTCGAGAGCTATGCTGCACGCTGTGGCGGCAATGGCGTCTCACTCCGGGCGATGGAGGACTGACCTTGGAACCCTGAACTCTGAACCCTAAAAAGGGTTTAGGGTTTAGGGTTTAGGGTTTAGGGTCTCCAAAGCCCTAAACCTAATAAAGCCCAGGCCTTATAAGCCCTAAAACCCAACAGCCCTACGCCGGCACGATGGAGGACGCGGCGAAGCAGTTCGTCGCCCACCATCAGCGCAAGAAGGAGGCTGCCCAGCAGGCTCTGTCTAAAGAATAATTGCAGGGACAGAGCCCATGTACCCAAAACCTCCCAAATCCTTTAATTATGGAGCATACTTCAAACCATATTAGGGATCCTACTATATATTCTTGAAACATGGGATATAGCAAGGTCTGGGTACCTCCGAAGTATATACTTAGGCTTTAGAGGGATTGGTATATAGTAGCTTTAGGATCAAAGTATAAGCCTTTTTAGGACCTGTGGGGTAATGTGGGAACCTGATCGAGACCCTTTTTCCCTAAAATAAAAGCCAGAAAGTTGGAATATGATTATCCTAAACCCTTTGTGGTAAATTACAAGGTATCCTACCCTGAAACCATATTCCATCTTTCTGGAGATCCCCTTACTGTGTTTGGACTCTCCAGTCGGTTCCGGTCTATTTTACCACGGGTTTGTTCAGCCATTCTTGTGCACACTCCATCTGCCTTATTTGGGAGTTTCCGAAATTCAGGGGTACCTTATTTTGGGGTCGTTATAGTAAGGATGCTACTATTTAGGGTATCATATTAGGGTCCCCTATTTTTGGAAACTCCCATTTAGCATCACGGTTCGTTAGAGTCTCCGGTCCGGTCTTTGCGCACTACATGCCGCTTTGTTCTGTGGTCTGCAGGCCACGTCCACGCCGGCCGCAACCAAAGCTGCCACTCAGGGGTCGATTTAGGGTTTAGGGTTTAGGGTTTAGGGTCGGTTTCATACACTTCACACCTTTTTTGAGCTTTGTATAGCCTCCTTTGAAGCTGAATAGCTGAATTACATTCTGTGGCCGCCGAAAGCGCAAAACCCGAGGCCCTAAACCCAAGAGCCTTCAGACCCTGGAACCTACACCTAAACCGTTTTGGGTTTAGGGTTCAGGGTTCAGGGTTTAGGGTTTAGGGTTTAGGGGTTTAGGGGTTTAGGGGTTCAGGGTTTAGGGTTTAGGGTTTGGGGGTTTAGGGTTTAGGGTTTAGGGTTCAGGAAACGTGAACTCGACAACCCCTTGTAGTACCCCTATAGATCCCTTTAAGGAACCCCTTAGAGTACCCCTATGGATCCCTTAAAGGGAACTAAGGTGAAGTGCATCGAGTCATCAGGGGCTCTTGGTCCCGGTCCGGCGGGCCGGGTGCAGCCAGCCAAGCAGGTTCCAGGGCTCTTGTTCAGGAATTTTTCCTACCCAGAGGCTCCAAAGTAGTTCCTTTTTGGGGTTCATATAAGGTAATCCCAAAAAGGAGCTACTATGGAGCCTATGGGTATAGTGACAAATGCTAGTATGGTAACGGGATTTGTGGCAACTTACGTTTTATTATGGCAGCATTATATTGTGGTAAAATAATATTGAACTCTTTAGCAAGAGCCCAGAAGCAGGTTCTCCAAGACTACGCAGGGTCCCAGGGCGGTGACGCCATGCCCAACCAGGTGGGGCAGTCGGTTGGCATTTTCAACCTGCAGGCCGAAACGCCAAGCCCTGAACCCCAAACCCCTAAACCCAAACCCTATACGCCAGACCCTGAACCCCAAGCCCTAAACCCCAAACCCTGAACCCCAAACCGGTGGTGACCGCTTGCGGTCTTCCATTGAACCCCAAGCTCTCTCCACAGAGCACCCCAAATTAGGGACCCAAAAAGCACATAAGCATAAGCATTATATGGGGATATCCCTACCTTATTGGGCTTCATTATAAGGGGGTTTATATGGGATATCCCTACCCTAATTTTTTGCTTATGTGCTTTTTTGGGGCCCTACCAAAGCGGCCCTCGGAGCCCTAAACCCCAAACCTTAAACCCTATGCCCTAAACCCGAAACCCGAAACCCGAAACCCCATGCCCTAAACCCAAAATCCTAAACCCTAAACCTCAAACCCTGAACCCGTAAACCCTACGCCTATAATAAGAAGCCCTGAGCAATGCTGACATCGTTTCCCAGCAGGTGCCGTTTCCTCAGAACCTCCAGGGCTATGCCCAAGCAGCTGGGCTGTTGTTGAAGAACTTCGAGAGGCTGTTAACGCTTGCATAAGGGCCTAAAGTTGTTTTGTGTATGTTACCTCGGAGAAAATAGGATGTTTTCTTGGAATTCTTGAGCCGTTTTGCTTAATGCCAATACAGTTTTTTGTTGTTTGTCACTTACACAAAATGCCGCGAATCCCATACACTGACCTTTAGAACCCTTGTAAAACCTTTGTAGAATCCTCAGGAAACTCCGATACAGACTTTGGGGAATGCCTTGTAAAAGTTGCAAAAGCCTACTACAACCCTGAAAAACCCTTAGCTCTTAAACCCCTAAACCCTAAACCCCAACCCCCTAAACCCCAAACCCAAAACCAAAAGCCCCAAACCATACAACTCCTATAAGTGCTACTTAGACCCTCCAACTACCTCCTACTATACCCTAAACACAATTAAAGACCAGAAGGGCTTCATGACAGGGCCATAGGGGGTCCTGGTATAAGCCCTAAGAGAGCACCTTTACCTTTAGCCCAGGAGACCTCTGGGAGGCGCGGTGGGGGAGCTGTTGAGCTCGCCTCCGCTGAGACTGGGCTGCAGTGAGGCGTTGAGGGGTTTGCTGGGGTTTAAGGGGTTCAGAGGGTTTAAGGGTTTAGGGTTTATTGGGGTTTTGGGGTTCAAGGGTTTAGGGCTTTAGGGTTTTAGAAATCGGGGTTCTAGGGTCTGGGGTTTTGAGGGGTGTAGGGGTTTAGGGTTCTAGACGTTGAGGTTTGGGGGTCTAGAATTGGTGTTGGGGGGTTTGAAGCTTTCGGGTTCCGAAGGTTTAGGTTTTTACGGTTTAGGGCTCTGGGGTGCTAGGGTGCGGAGCTGAAAGGGTTTTGGGGGTCGACGGTTCTAGGGTTCGAGGGGCTCGAGGGTTGGTTCTATTGGTTTGGGGTTTTTGTACAGTAGGTTTTTGGGCAGTGTGTCAAAAACTGTTGTTTTGTGCAATTTGTGTTTGTTGAAACTTTTTGTGGGGGTTTCCGTTCAGGTTTTTTGTTGCTTGGGGGTTTCGGGTGACACCCGATCCAATTTTGGAGTTTGAGCGGCCTCCGGCGGTCTGTGCTCCTTTCTGAAGCTACTATAACTGGGTTGTCCTTTGGGATCTCTTTTAATTTCCCCTACTATTTTGTAGAGAACCATAATAGTAAATAATTTTGAAAGGGCCTAAAGGACAACTCAGATAAATAATTAGAATATGAGGCTTGGATGTAGAGTGCAGTTGTGCCTTTTCGTTCTCCCGATCAACATTAGAGGGTTCGTCGTGCAACAGTACGTTCTCTGGTTCCTCCTTTCATGATTCAGCAGCTTTATGCTGAAATCGCTTGATAAGGACCGTTTGTACAACCCTTTCAAAGTGCTATCAAGCCCGTAAGGTTTAAGGTTCGGGATGATTTATGTAAAGCTTGTGCTCTTTCGAGTTTTACGCTCTGTAGATTTTAGGGCTGTGGGGATTCATCGATTAGTGTATGTTTTTTTTTTCGGGTTGAGGGTGCCCTGATATTATCCGGATAGATTTCGTATAGAACCCTCGCAGAACCTTGAACCCCGCACAAGGTGATGTGCCCAATGAAGCAGGGGGCCACAGTGAACGAAGAATACGTCTTCGACCAGAAGCAGCTCGGCCTGCATAACGCAGATCGACAGTCTTAGGTTCCATATAAGGGTAGTTGTCAAAATTAAGGCCCCTTTTTGGATACCCTAAATATTGGGTGCCGTACTATATTAAGGACCCCCAAAGGGACCATAATTTTGACAGCCACCCATAAGCGTTTAGAGTTCAGGGAGTCGGGTTAGGTGTTTGGGACTTTATGATTTAGGGTTCTACGGGGGTTTGGGGTTCGAGAAGAGTTTACGGAGTAGGGTTCTATAAAGGCTTAGGGAGAACGGTTGAGGGGTTTTAGGCTTTACGGTTCGGGGTTTAGGGGTTTGCGCTTTAGGGTTCTAAGGGGGTTTGGGGTTTATGGTTGAGGGTTCGGCGTTCGGGGTTTAGGATTCTATAAGGGTTTCGGGTTTAGGTAACCCACAAAATCCCAAACCCTAAACCCTAATCGCAAATCTCTAAACCCTACTTCCCGGACAGTAGAGGGGCCTGAAACATATCAATTTTATTCCTTTGTGTGCTTTAATAATCTTTATAACATGCCGCAAAAAATATTGAGGCCCCTATGTGAAGTCCTTCAACCCTTCATCATAAAACCCTGATACATTCCTTTCAAGCGACCCTTAAAGCAACACTAAAACCGCAAACCCTGAACTCCCATAGCCACCATTCATAGGAGGCCAAATGGGGTTTTAGCCTATGGGGGTTTAGTAGGGATAAGGGTTCCCATCATATTAAGGAATCCCTACCCCAAGAATCTTAAACCCCCCTTTGGGCCTCCCATCAACCATGGTTCCGGAAGGCTCGGCGAGGGCAGCTTTGGACAAGTCTGCGTCGTGACCCACAAGACACTGGGCTTCAGGGGGATGTTGGGTTCTACTAAGTTCGATTACTTTCACCCCCAAATAGCCTCCTTTAAGCCACCTTCTGGTGGTTTTTAGACATGATTTCCTTAAACCACGTGTTTAAGAGATTCGGAAGGTACTTTTTCGGGTCCAGGTAATCCCTATATCCGAAACCCTGAGGATTTGGGCGTTTAGGGTTCAAAACTCAGCGGATGACAGGCCCGAGCTTACAGGGTTCAAAAAGGGATACATAAGCGTTCTGAAAGGGTTGTATCAACAAACGTTCCATCAGGGTTCTATGGTGTTAATTCATGGTTTAAGGTTTGGGGTAGCGGCAGACTTCTGGTGTAGAGCGTCCTTAAACCGCAAACCATTGCCACACCCAAACCCTAAACCCTAAACACCCAGGATTACCGGCCAGCGGCGGGCTTGCAAGCGCGTGTCGGTGCAGACGGAGACTGACCGGAGGTGGGGGCCCGAAATCCGGGTTCAAGATCGTGAGTAGAACTTCAACCACAATTTCAAGTCTTGGGCTACTTAAAGGATCATGGGACTTAGCAAATAGTTATAATTAGGGTGACTATACATATAACCCCAATTTCAGGTACATAAAGCCTTACTTACTAAGTCCCGTGATCCTCCCAAGTAGACCCTAACCCCTAAGGCCCTAGACCCTATAGATCCCTTTAAGGAACCCTATAGATCCCTTTCAGGAGCCCTTAAAGGAACCGAACTTACTAAGTCCCGTGATCCTCCAAGTGTGGTTTAGGGTTTGAAGCATAATCACCCACACAGCCCCTACTCGACCTTTTTCGGGTGCCGGCGAGCATGGTCAAATCCTACATGGCTTTAGATGTCCATGCCCTAAGCCGATATAGAAGCCGGAAGAGCTTCCTGTGGAGTTTTCTAGGGCTCTTGGCGGTTGTAGTAGAATAGACGCCCACATCCTATTCTAGTTGTTATGGCCCCTATGTGAAACCCTAGGACTTCTCTATAAAGCCTTTATTATTAGCGAAACCTTGTTATGGAACCCTTCAAAGGAACCCATTCTACTCGCAAGACTATGGCCCCTATCCACCCGAAAAGCCTGACTCGGGTTTAGGGTTGACGGGTTAGGGCCTCAGGTTCTGATCCCTACCCCCCTGAAGCCCTACAGCCATAACATGCCATGACCATTGGCCGTCAAGTCCGAAGCCTTACTTAAACCCGCGATTTAGTAATTAGACTAGGGCCTAGTGACAGGGGTTTGGGGAATATTGTACCTCAGCAGTTAGAAGGAAAGCTCCGCAATAGTATTACTAACTAGTCTGACCCCTGTAGCTACCACCATCCGAACACCCACACACGCAATCCTTCGGTATTGGACTTTGCTAAAATTTCATTCAAGTCATTGTAAAACTTGATATACCCCTTTCAAAGCCATTGCGGAACGCCATGACACCCAAAGCCTTCACAGAAGCCCGTGCAACGAACTTCAGCCAAGAGAGAGAAGGGCTTTATAGCGGAGGTTGGCACCCAAACCCCTAAACCCGAAACCCTACACACCTAGACAGAGAACCACAGAAATCCTAAATCCAAAACCTAAACCCCAACCCCCAAACCCTTATAGCACGAGGCTAGTGGACACGGACGTTTTCGAACCTCAATCCTAAACTAAACTCCAAGGGAGCCCTTAACCCCAGACTGTAAACCCTCCATCCTAGTTAACCCTAAGCCCTAAACCTTAAGGCCTAAACCTTATGAACTGTGAACCCTAAATCTTGAACTAAACCCCCTCAAGGGAGCCCTTAAAGGCACCCTGTGCCAAGGCTGGTGGATACGGAAATCCAGCTTTTGAAGAAGCTGCTAGGCTGCCCAGTAGTGCCCTTTTTCCCTTTCTGTAGTCCTAGGTTCCTTATATTGGGGGTTTTAGGGTTTTAGGGGTTTAGGGGTTTCCCCTGTTACCCAATACCAAAAAGGGAGCCCTCTTTATTCCTAGATTACTGGGCATCCGAGGCTGGATCATCCGCACATCATGAGACTCTCCGAGCAGGGCAACCCAGGGTTGAGGTTACAGGAGATGGGGCTTTGGCTTTAGGGGTTTAGGGGTTTAGGGTTTAGGGTTTAGGGGTTTAGGGTTTAGGGTTTAGGGTTCCTGATCGAGACCCTTTTTCCCTAAAGTAAAAGCCAGAAAGTTGGAATATGATTATCCTAACCCTTCTATGGTAAATTATAGGGTATCCTACCATGAAACCATATTCTAACTTTCTGGAGTTCCCTGTAGGGGTTTAGGGGTTTAGGAGTGTAGGGTTTGGAACCGGCTTCCCACAGTTTCAGGCTGATTTAGGATTTCGGGCTCAGGGCTTAGGGTAGGCCATTTCGGCGCTCTATAAAAGGGCTCTGTAAAGGCTCTAGACTCTAAAAAGCGCTCTGTTGGCGCAAGCTAAACGGAGGGCCTTGTCCTTAAGCCCCAAGCCTCAAGCCTTAAATCAGTTTGGAGTTTATTCAGTTCCCAAGCGACAAATAAAACTATCCGAAACTGTAGTCAAACGGTGTAGCTTTATCAAGAAGACATTCTAAAACCCGGGCTGCAACCGCAGGCCCCAAACCCGAAGCTCCAGACCAGGCCTTATACACTCTTACTGGGGTTTGGAGTATTCAGGGTTTATGGAACAACTATCTTAATCACTTACCCCCTAAACTAACCCTGTCCCCAACCCCAAAAACCTAAACTCTACACCCTAAACCGAAATCCACAGGTGCTTCGTGGAGCGCGCGGGTCTGTTTCTGATCTCAGAGCTCTGCGAGGCCTCAGCTCGGCTTCAGTTCGATTTCCTGTGTCAGCCTAAGTCTCCGTGTGCTTGTATGGTGTGTGAGGGTTAGCATAGCTAGCTGGGGTTTAGGCTGGTTTTTGTAGGGTTTCAAGCAGGATGCAGTAGGTCTTTTCGGATTTCATGGGTGCTGGAGTATTCCCTATCGGTCCATGCGCATATGCATGAGGCATAGGACCCACCTATACCCTTAACCCTATCTCAGGACTTAGAGCAGTGATTTTGGGGTTCGTTAAAGGGGATTGTGGGGTCCATGCACCTATCTTAAACTACCACAGCCGACGGTTTTATCGGTTCTTATTCAACGACCTAAGATAGACCCTACAAAAAGTCGGTTTTGGTAGGTTAAGGTATAGATTAGAATACATGTTCTTAGATATATCCGTACTGTAGGGTGACATTGAATCTGCATGGGCGCATGGGCCCCTAGAGTCCTAGCGCCCTGGATGTTTCTTCATCCCCCACAGTCTGTAGGGTTTGAAAAGTCATGGGTGCTTCGGGTTCCAGGCTCTTGTAACTGAAGAGGGAAAGTTGTCGATTTGCGCGATATGCATGTTATAAGTTGTGATCCTCACCTTCCGGTCCGTGGAGAGCCAGACGTTGCACGACGGGCGGGGCAAAGGCCTGAACACAGCTTGGGCTGGGACCGCAATCGTACCCGCTCGATATTGCAGACGGCGTAGCAACGAGCCATGATTCCCTGGAGGATCATGGGACTCAGTAAACAAGGTCAGAAGTCGTCAGTACGTAAGTGCAGTTATAACAAACTATAAAAGCCCTATGACTCATTGACCTTATTTATTACCCTAGCTCCTCCAAGTGAAGGACCACATCGAGGCTGATGTTCGTCGTGGAGATTTTTCGTTCTTGAACCGGGTCCTGAGCTTCTTGACCTTGGTTCCGTGGTTGAGTAGCAACAGGTTACCGTCTCAAGGTTGTCGGCATGTGGTCTACCGTGTTACAACCGCTAGCAAAGAGGCCACCACTTCGAAACAAGCTCTTTTTTTCAAGTTCGCTTTTATGTTTTCCTGAATTAAACCTCTTTGAAGGTGCAGGTAAACCGTTACCGTTGAAGCCCAAAAGTTGGAAAGCCAATAGCCTCAATCCCTAAGAGTCCTGTAAAGGGAATCCCAGCACTATTTGGCCTCAATCCAGTGTGCAATTTTATGGGGCTTACTGTAAATTAGGTTCCGATTCCCTAAGCCCTAAATAAACCTTAAACCCCTTTTTTAGAACCCTTATAGTGCCCTTATGGGTGGTTCTCAAAATTAGGGCCCCTTTTCGGTCCTTATTATAGTACGGCACCTATTATTTAGGGCACCCAAAAAGGGACCATAATTGTGACAACTACCCTTATAGTAGTTCCTGAAAGTCCGATAAGCCCGGACAGGGTGGCACCTTGCTAGCGGGCTTCGCGCGCCACGGCTCCGAATCTGCAGTGGGGGCCCCAGCCACGGTTTAGGGTTCAGGGTTGAGGGTGTTTGCGAGAGGGTGTGGGGGTTCTGGTGTTTGCTGAAGACCCTTAGACAGCCATTACGATAGCTTCAAACTTTTTTTGTTTCATATTGGGCCAATATTGAGTCGATCCTAGAACGTTTGAACTTTTTTGAGCCCGGTTATTGAAGAAGAGATGCTTAATTTGGTGCAATACGCCCCCGTCCTCCTCAAGAACAAACAACACTATGCATAATGTGGGTACATATAGGCATTTTGGCATATGTGTTATATATATTTATGTCTATTATATTATCAATGATCTTCTTTGTAATCCGAGATCCTCTTTGTAGTCCGAAATAATGCAGGTTTGCCTCTGGCTTTTCCGGGTTCTTGCTTAGCCTGGAGCTTAGCAGCGGGGTTCCGGTTGTTGCACTGTCTCGTATTTCCCCAAAGCAGTTTCTTTTGGTGGAGAAGGTTCGGGGTTAGTTGTTTCGTAGCCAGGCTGCCCAGTACCCTTATTCCCTTTTTGTAGTCCTAGGTTCCTTATAAAGTTACCCAACACCGAAAAGGGAGCCCTTTATTCCAGGTTACTGGGCATCCTAGGTAGAGGTTTAGGATTGTTGATGCGTTTGGGAGATAGGGGCTTGGGATTAGGATTCTGGTTAGGGTTTGGGGTCTGGGGCCTTCGGTTTCAGGGTTTGGAGTTAGGGTTCAGGTTTAGGGTTTAGGGTTTAGGGTTTAGGTATTGTATCCGATATGGTTTCTTTGCTTGGCTGGTGAAAACAATTTTCGCAACACAAAACCACTTCCTCCGGCGATGGCGACAGCTCCTGCAGCAGCGAGCGGCTGGCTCGGTCCCCAGCAACGAGGTAGCCAACAACGGCAACCTCGACAACTGAACCACCGCAGCGCAACCCATGCACAGGGACATGCCGCCAATGGGCTTTGGCATGATGAGAGGCTTGGGGTGTATTGGGTGTGAGTAGGGTTGATTAGGTTTTTAAGGGTTACGGGTTAAGGGTTTGTGGTTTAATTACAGCCTATATAAATGGTTAAGGGTCTGCACATGCCAGCGCCTTGCAAGGTGGTATTTGAGGAGTTCCAGGAGGGTCCAAGGGCATGCAGAGGGAGGTAGGATATAGAAGTTTATAGTTATAGTATATAGCAGCCAAGAAGTCAAGAAATTCAGAAGTGTCTGGAATGTGGTGTCGGTGATGATGCTTCCAGGTTGTTCTTTGGGGTTTCTGTCTGAAGAATCCTTATCGTTGGGCTACCCTAACAAGTTGAGCGCTCCACACGTATTAAGTTTTAACCCCTATCTCAACTTTGCATCTAAAGCTCGACTCCCTAATATTCCAAGACCCAGCAACTACCGTCTAGTTCTTACAAAGCCGAAGAACTACTACAAACGATGCTAGGCCCTATAAACGGTACCTGGATGGGTCCTGGCCAACGGCCAAGCCCAATCCTACTATACAATACTACTCTGAGGGTTCCTTATTATAATCAAAGTATTATGGGCCCCAAAACCCTAATAGAGTTTTGGCATAATACTATAAATTAGAATATTCTAGTTATCAAGGCCCAAATCCTAAAGTGCGGAGCCTGTCCGGATCAGGCCGCATCTGCTATCCGTCAGGTGCTAGGAGCTACGGCCCCTTGGCCTTGGCTCTTGGAGGGTTTGGGTTTAGGGTTTAAGGGTTAGGGCTTTAAGCGTTTAGGGTTAGGGGTTTAGGGTCTAGGGGTTGGAGGCGCCAGGTGGGACTACTTGCTTCGATTAAGCCGCGAAAAGCTCCGAGTTGTTGTCGAAACTGAGTCCTGCCTAAACGAATGATGGTCTACTGGTTTACGTTCTGTGGCAGTTTTGAAAGCTGTATATGGTACGGAGAGAGAGAGAGAGAGAGAGAGAGAGAGAGAGAGAGAGAGAGAGAGAGACACAGAGAGAGAGAGAGAGAGATAGAGCCCAAACCCCAAACTCCTAAAATTCCGCAAGCCTCAACACTTGAAGCCCCACACTCCTAAACATCCGCAAACCCAAACCCTACTTAACGGATCACGGGTCTTTGTAACTAGGTTATAGTTAGGGTAAATATACTTATAACCGCAATTAGGGTACTTATAACCTTATTTACTAAGTCCCATGATCCTCCAAGTAAACGCCTGAAGCCCAACCCCCCCAACCCTATGCCTCGAACACTGAAGTCCTACTGTAAACTTGACCTTGAAACTCAGAGGAAAAGCTAGCTGAACCAGAAAGAGCAGAGCCTAAACCTTAAACCCTCATTATTTACCCGAACGCTACCCCAAGCCGGAACAAACCCTCAATCCCCTCTATCCTCTAAACCCTCCTGTTTCACACGCTGAACCCTCAACCTTCAGTCGTGAAAAGGTGCTCCAAAACAACCTAGCTCTAAACCGTGAACTCTAAACCCTAAATCGTCGGCAGCGTTTCGGTTCCAGAGTGCTCCTCGCTGCCTCAGCGGCTCCGTTAGCCAAGGCAGATACGAGGCCCAGTGGTTCTGCGTTTTCCGGTTTCTTTAGGGTTTAGGGTTTAGAGTTTCCGGCATAGTGTTCAGGGTTTCGGGTTAAGGGTTTCGGGTTTAGGGTTTGGGGTTTAGGGTTAAGTGCTCTGGGCTTGGGGTTTAGGGCTTTGTCTCGTTGGAGGCGTGGGTTCTGTTGCATATACTCCGTACTGAAGGGGCCCCTGACATTGAATTTAAAGACCTAACACGAAACCCTAAACCCAACCCCGACCTCAACTCTAAACCCTAAGCCTCAACCCAAGCATAAACCACAGCCTCGAAGCCCTGCAGGGCTTTGGGGTTGAGGGCTTATGGGGTTTCGCTTTTTAGGCTCTAAGGGCTTTGGAGATCAGGGCTCCCAGGCTCAAGGGGTTGTTTAAGGTAATATAGGGGCCCAAAGAATTACCCATAATAATTTGGCGGTTCCGTATTATACCTATAGTATAATGGGCCTGAAATCTAGGCCCCTATATCAAGGCCATGTCGGTACGCGGACCCTGTGGGTAGTGTTCGTTATAGGGTTCCTGCAGGCAGCCGATGGACCTGTCGCTTCGAGTCCTGGCGTTGCTTCTGACAGTCCGGGCGACAATTTTGGACGCAGCCTGGCTCTTTCAGAAGTGGAGTTGGCTTTTTGGGTTCGGCTTGACTTTCCCAGACCCTCCAATACCCCTTCAGTAAGCAAGATACTTTAAATCATATTCGGGATCCCATCTCATGTCATGTAAATTCCCCAGTTAAGGAAGGTATGAAGGTCTGGTAGGTATAGATTTGGGTTTATGCAGCTTGTCGGGTTTCTTAGTGTCTGTCTTTTTTTGTGTCGTCCGTCATCATTGTCATCATGATATCCATCATTGTCATGATGGTTATCATCATTGTTATGACCCATGTTACCATCATTGTTTGTATCATCGCTCTCACCTTCGCCATCATCGTTATTGTCATTGTTGTGACTGTCGACATCGTCATCGCCATGGTCCCCGTTTTCATGAAGCATGGTTATCATCATTGGCATCATCATCGCTATATCGCGATTGTCATCACCACCAAAGACCCATCGTCCTCATTGCCATCGTTATCATCCTCGTTGGCAGCATCGTTGTCATCATCGTCATCAACACGTTGAGCGGTGGGGTTTTCGGGAGGCTGGGACCGAAGCTAAAGCCCTAAATCGCGAAACCCTGCCCCAAACCTCAAACCCTACTAAAACAAAGGCAGTTCATAGGTAGTTCTCAGTCGGGTTATCATGAACAGTGTAACTTTTGCCATAAACCATATTGGGGACTTATTGCCCCCTTGATAACTACCCATGAACCTCCAAGTCAGGCCCTAAGCCCCGAAACCCCAGCCGCAAACCCTAAACCCTATTATCACAAAGCAGCACTCAAAGACCTGAGGCTCAGAAGACCCTAAACCCTGAGCCTAACCCTAAACCCTAAACCCCTAAACCCCTAAACCCCCCTAAACCCTAAACGCCCTGGAGCCTGCACCCTGAGCGCTCTTACAACAAAGCAGCACTTACTTCGACCCTAAGAAACGTGCCTTTTCAGTGTTCTTTCATATGAATTCAATATATTCGTGTCCTTAAAGCAGGTAGATTTTCCGGGGTTTAACGCTCAACAGACCCTAAACCTCCAAACCCTAAACTCCTAACCCCTAAACCCTCAACCCCAAACTCGTAACCACTAAACCCTCAACCCTTAACTCCTAACCCCTAAACCCTCAATCCTAATCCCTAAAACCTCAAAGCCTGAGGCTCAAAAGACCAGCGTTTTTCAGCGGCCGCCGATCTCTGGGGCATTGACGCGCGCCGAGGTGTAGGGCTCAGAGCCAAGGGTTCTTTTTTATGGCTCCTGGGACCATGGGACTTAGTAACTAGGGTTCCTCAAAGTGTTCCTTAAAAGGGATCTATAAGGGTTCTAGAACAGGGGTTTTGGGGTTACTTAAAGGATCATGGGACTTGGTAACCAGGGTTATAATTAGGGTAACTATACTTATAACTACTTACAACCCCAATTAAGGTAATTACTTAGTACCGTACTTACTAAGTCCCATGATCCTTTTGGTAGGGTTTAGGGTTATCAAGGTGGCTGGGGGCTTGAACTAAACCGAGATCCCAAAAGCCCCTGAGCCCTAGATTTAATTTGGGGTTTCGGGTGGCGGTTTGGGGACGAAACCTTAGACCTTCAACTCCGAAACATCCTACATTTCAATGTTGGGGTTTTGGGGTTCAGGTGTGGGAGCTTTAAGCAACAAACTCTGAACCTCGGCCTTTGTTGAAATCAAGTATCAGCAACAACCTGAATCCCCGAGCCCTAAAGCCCGAAACCGTGTAACACTTTCCCTTGAGAACATCTCTGTAGAACCCTCTTGGTAATTCACCGAAAGGCCTAGACCGTAACTTATTGTCACTTACATCGTGTGGCGTTTGGACCCGGGAGCCTTATGATAAGGGTTAGGACGGTTACCGGTATAGGGTTTTGGGTTCAGGGGTAGAAGCTTCAGGAAACAAGAACCCCAGAAATACAGGATTTGGGGGTGTAGGGTTCGGGGTTTTGAGCCTTTAAATTCTTCCTAAACCCTAAACCCCAAATCCCTAAAGCCCTAAAGCCCAAGACCATATCAGATCAGCCTCAAGCCTCATCCTTAACCTCAAGGGTCCAAGTACCGAAGAATCATCTCATCTCCAAAACCCTCACCTACATATGGGTGGTTGTCAAAATTATGGCCCCTTTTGGGGGGTACCCTAAATATTAGCTGTACTATAGTAGGGACCCAAAAAGGTACCATAATTTTGACAACCACCCATATTCACTATACTCAAACCGAGTATCTGATTCTTGGGTCTTTTCAAGTTATGGGGTGACTTGGGTGGTTATCAGAATGATGGTCCCTTTTTCTTGCTGGGCCATAGACTGGGTCTTTGTGTCTTTTGTTGTTTCTGGCTTGTGCTCCTGGGGGGTTGTGGGTGGTGTTTGAAGCAGTGGGCTGGTGGCTTGGGTTTGTCTGGGCTCGTGGCTGGGGGTCTTTGTTGCTCAAGCGACTCGTCCGTGAGCAAAAACCCTGAACCCTACATAATTTTAAGCCCAGCTAGACAGTGCCGGCTTCAGGGTTTGATTTTTACAGATTTTGGCTCAAATAATTCACCCGTGAAAGGAAAAATCAAAGCACCCAACATTAAAAACAAAATAGACGGGACTGATGAATTTAAACCTTGTACACTAAACCGCTCGTGAAGGCTTTCAAGCCGATACCGGCCACGCCTCTGATAGTTTTGCAGAAAGAAAAGTATATATATATATGCATATACATATATATATATATATACATATATATATATATACATATATATATATATATATACATATATATATATATAT